TGTTTACAAAGCAGCTTTGTTTGTGATAAATAAAAACTAGAAACACCCCACAGGTTGATGAATAAACAGTTTGCGGCATGTATGTACAATGGAATACCACTTGGCAGTTAAAATGGAATAGAATATGGAAACATGCTAAAAGTAGAAAAATCTTAAAACAATTATCCTGAATGAAGAATTCAGACCAAAAAAGAGTATATACAGCATGTTCCATTTATATGAAATTCTAGAAAATTAAAACCAATATATAGAAACAAAAAGCAGAACTGTGGTTGCTTGGGGCTGGGACGGAGGCACAGTGAGAGGCACAAGAGAGGGATTGCCTAGGGATTACCTTTGGGAGTGATGGATATTTTTATTATCTTGATTGTAGGGATGTTTTCACAAGTACTAGTATATGCTTATGCCAAACTTAAATTGCACACTTTCCACATGTAGTTTACTGTATATAAATTATACATTAAGAAGGGCGTTAAACATTAGAAATAAAACAAATTAGGATGTTGTTAGAATGATGCAGGTTAGGCAGCACACACATTCCTTCTGGCAGCTAACAACCCTATTTCTCTCCTAATCTCCTGCCTTGAGCTGTACTATCACTAGAGTAGCTTTCACCCTGGGGCAAGCAACCCACAATTGGGTCCTGGGGAAGATTTTTTTTTTTTTAGATCCTCACCTGAGAACATTTTTTTTCCATTGATTTTTAGGGAGAGTGAAAGAGAGAGGGAAAGACAGAGAGAAACATCAATGTCAAAGGTTGCCTCCTGCATGAGCCCCGACCAGGGCCTGGGCCGGGGAGAAGCTTGCAACCCAGGTACGTGCCCTTGACCAGAATCGAACCTGGGACCCTTTGGTCCGCAGGCCAATGCTCTGTCCACTGAGCCAAACCGGCTAGGGCCTGGGGAAGGTTTTTTGATACTGTGGTCCGCATATGTGCAGAGAAGAAGGAATAGAGTTTACAGTCATAATCTTTATTTCTTCTTCCTCCTATTATTATGCTCTCTCTGAGGCTTGAACACAGTTGTAATCTTTAAATGGAGAAAGAATGAAGGTGGAATGGGATCACTGTCTGGTCAGGGCGCCAGAATGAGAGAGGGTGAGAGCTTCCACTGCTTGGGTCCAGTGATTATTGACTATGCTGTCACCCCATTATCATATGGGGAGGGAAGAATGTGGCTGAAGTTATTTAGGCACATATAGCTTAGGAAACATCAGAAACAGAACAAGCTACACTGTGAAGTGCATAATTGTAGCTTTCCAGAGACAGAAGGAGGCATGCTAACATGCCCCCAAATTGGTAAAGTTTTGGCAGGACAGACAAATGCCTGCTTCCCTGTGTGACTTCCTCACTCCTATGTTTCAGAGAGGGAGAGAGAAACATCAATAATGAGAGAGAATCATTTATCAGCTGCCTCCTGCACGCCCCCTACAGGGATCCAGTCTGTATCCTGATGGGGAATCGAACCGGTGACCTCTTTGTTTATGGGTCGACTCTCAACCATTGAGCTATCCTGGCTGGGCAAGTCTTTAATCTATTTTTGAATTGATTTTTTTTGTGTGTAGTATAAGGTAGTGGTACACTTTCATTCTTTTGCATGTGGCTTTTCATTTTCCCAATACCATTCATTGAAGAGATTGTCCTTTCTCCATTGTATATGCTTGGCTCTTTTGTCATAAATTAATTTACCATGTATACAATAGTTTATTTCTTGGCTCTCTCTTCCCATTGATCTGTGTTTGTTCTTATGCCAGTACCATACTGTTTTGATTACTATGGCTTTGTAATATAGTTTGAAATCAGAGAGATGGTGCCTGCATCTTTGTCCCTTCTCAAGATTGCCTTGTTTGGCTGTTTGGGGTCTTCTGTCTTTCCACTAAGATTTCAGGATTGTTTGTTCTGTTTCTGTGGAAAATGGCATTGGAATTTTGGTTGTGGTTGCATTAAATCTAAAAATTGCTTTGGGTAAGGCTTCATATTTGGAAAAACCATAGAAGTGCTGGAAATTCAGTGATCAAAGACACTTCATTTAATATCTGAATTTTTTATTTTAGTCAAGAACTGGTAATATTAGCAGCAGGGATAGGCTTAAAAGAAGCACATGAAAAGAATATTATATTACTGGGCTTCTTTGTGAGCAGTTCTGGTTATGAATGATGGCATAACTCTTACTGATATGTAGGACTCTGACTTTTTAAAAAATGCTTGAGAGCAAAGTCACCTGGGCTATCTGTAACATGTTAGTGTCCATGACCTTTTGATCACTAGAAATAAACAGATGAACAAGGAAAGCATCTCTTGAATGTCACTATTAGGAAACATAAATCAAAACAGCACGAGAAAATTCATATTTAAGCTGGAAATCTTTTGGTCTGAGTTCATGAATTTATGAATTAGAATAAGTTTGGACAACAATGAAAAGTCATCTTTAAAAAATGTGTCTGGAATGGTTTAGAAGAATTGCATAAATCCATACCTGGGAAATGCCTTGGAGTGTTGTAGAGTATGTAGGAAGGTATCTTAAATTGTAACAAAACTTGAGATGTCAATAATAGCTTTTCTTGTTTATGTAAGACTGGTAATTTCTATTCACCAAAATCCTATATAATAAAAGGATAATATGCAAATTGACCCTAACGACAGAAAGACCAGGAATGACTGGTCGCTATGACACACACTGACCACCAGGGGGCAGACGCTTAATGCAGGAGCTGCCCCCTCGTGGTCAGTGTGCTCCCACAGGGGGACCTCCGCTCAGTCACAAGCTGGGCTGACAGCTGTGAATGCAGTGGCAGTGGCTGGAGCCTCTCCCGCCTCCTTGGCAGCACTAAGGATGTCCCACTACAGCTAAGCCATCATTTGGACATCCCCTGAGGGCTCCCAGGCTGCCAGAGGGATGTCTGACTGCCAGCTTAGGCCTGATCCCCCGGGGAGTGGGCCTAAGCTGCAGGTGGACATCTGAGGGGTCCTGGACTGTGAGAGGGTGCAGGTCGAGCTGAGGGACTCCCCCCTACTCCAGTTCACAAATTTTCATGCACTAGGCCTCTAGTAGTATATAATCATAAATTAAAATGTCAGAATGTATTAGAATAGCATTACAACCAATAATCTCTTTTAAGGCTTATTCTTTTCTGATTCTGTAAGGATAAATATTCAAGCTTTAAGGGGCAAGGTATATATGGTAGGCATTTGCTATTATTTTAGCCCCTCAGCATCTGAAAACCCTTCCTATGCTAAGATTCCCTACCTTGGTAGCTAGGTGGTAGAGGGCGAAAATCCCAGATGCTTGCTTTCCCATGCTTGTTGTAGTTAATATGCAGACATATGACCTCGGTGTCACATTTAGATCCACTTCCACCAGATTTTTGTTTTTTAACTGTAATCCTCACTCAAGGATATGTTTTTATTGTTTTTAGAGAGAGACGAATGGGCAAGGAGAGAAAGAGAGAGAGATAGCGAGAGAGACATCAATGTGAGAGAGAAACATTGATTGGTTGTATCCCATTCACGCCCTGACCAGGTATCAAACCCACAACCTTAGTATGTGCCCTGACTGGGAATGGAACCTACAACCTTTTGGTGTATGGCATGCTGCTCCAACCAACTGAGCCACCTGGCCAGGGCCACTTGCACCAGATTTTTTTTTAAAAATATATTTTATTGATTTTTTACAGAGAGGAAAGGAGAGAGAGAGAGAGTTAGAAACATCGATGAGAGAGAAACATTGACCAGCTG